TCATACTTTAGTCGGCTGGTAGTCACGTGGACAGAAGCATGGACACTCCGTTGCAAGATTGCACCATCAAAGAGCGACGTGCCGTAGGAGTTGTATATGAGGGGAGGGCTGGGGAGAGAAGCTTGCGCAATGCAGCATATTTGCATAGCCTGTTGGATAGATCGACCATGCGCAATACAGCGCTCATACTTTAGTCGGCTGGTAGTCACGTGGACAGAAGCATGGACACTCCGTTGCAAGATTGCACCATCAAAGAGCGACGTGCCGTAGGAGTTGTATATGAGGGGAGGGCTGGGGAGAGAAGCTTGCGCAATGCAGCATATTTGCATAGCCTGTTGGATAGATCGACCATGCGCAATACAGCGCTCATACTTTAGTCGGCTGGTAGTCACGTGGACAGAAGCATGGACACTCCGTTGCAAGATTGCACCATCAAAGAGCGACGTGCCGTAGGAGTTGTATATGAGGGGAGGGCTGGGGAGAGAAGCTTGCGCAATGCAGCATATTTGCATAGCCTGTTGGATAGATCGACCATGCGCAATACAGCGCTCATACTTTAGTCGGCTGGTAGTCACGTGGACAGAAGCATGGACACTCCGTTGCAAGATTGCACCATCAAAGAGCGACGTGCCGTAGGAGTTGTATATGAGGGGAGGGCTGGGGAGAGAAGCTTGCGCAATGCAGCATATTTGCATAGCCTGTTGGATAGATCGACCATGCGCAATACAGCGCTCATACTTTAGTCGGCTGGTAGTCACGTGGACAGAAGCATGGACACTCCGTTGCAAGATTGCACCATCAAAGAGCGACGTGCCGTAGGAGTTGTATATGAGGGGAGGGCTGGGGAGAGAAGCTTGCGCAATGCAGCATATTTGCATAGCCTGTTGGATAGATCGACCATGCGCAATACAGCGCTCATACTTTAGTCGGCTGGTAGTCACGTGGACAGAAGCATGGACACTCCGTTGCAAGATTGCACCATCAAAGAGCGACGTGCCGTAGTGCGCTTTCTTTGGGCATATCGGCTATGGATCCACATTTGCCATGGGTTCCCAAATCGCTTCCTGCTCTGCACAAGCAACATCGTGTGGAGGTTGTGACCCATTTCTTGAGACGTTATGAAGAAGATCGGAGTATTCTGGAGAGAATTGTCACCGGTGATGAGACATGGGTGCACCACTATGACCCGGAGAGGAAAAGGAAAGAGGCGCCCCGCGATCACAGTTTCACCCCAGATGATGTAGACCTCCGGACCCACATTTGTCCTTGGTCATTAAGTCGTGACCCAAAGTTGCACTGCAATGGCATGCACGGCATTGCGGTACTGCGCGTTCCGGTGCAGGCAATTAAACTGTGGGCAGGAGGTGCGTTTTGGGTGGCAATTTAAATGAATGGCAATGCAGCGCACCTCCCGCACCGGAACGCTTAGTAGATGCGATTGCATGTTACAGTGCATAGTGGCACAGGACTGTTTGATTAACGCACTGTACTAGTGTGGATGGGTCCTCAAAGTCACTGACAGACATACACATAACCACAGCAGACACAATCTCACACACATATACACAACCCAAAAAAAATCTTTACACATTTTTTAAGGTCCGTCCAGTATCCCTACTTTACGAGAACTGGAGTGGATCCTCAACCTGGGGTCCAGTGTAAGCTGCTGTGCTGTGACGGAGCTCCATCCATATGTGCATTGCTTGTAGAGCTCCCTTGCGTGCCCTGTAGAGGTGCCGGGAGCCAGAATGTGACGTCACTCTGGTCCAGGCATCTCTACAGGACATACAAGGGAGCTCTACAAGCAATGCACATATGGATGGAGCTTCCTCACAGCCATAGCTCGCGCCCACCCACCTCAAACTGACACTCGGCACCGGGCAGCATATTTTGAATGGCTGCTTGGTGCAAGAACTGACAGTTTTGTGCCAGGAAAAGGCTGAGGATCCTCTCACCTAGAAAAGTGCAAGGTATGCGGTGACCCACTGAACACGGGGGCGCAACCCACTTTTTGGTCACGTCCTACCAGTTGAGAACCAAGGCGCTACGCCATGTTATGTAAAGAAAGGATCCACATGACTGGTTTTATTGCTACCTCCTGGTTGGTCTTAGCCGGACTCGCTGGCTCCACACCAGATAATGAGACGTGAACACAAAGGCCAATAGGTGTGTGCTGGTAGGTGAAGAATAGATATGTTTTGGTACTTCTGTGAAGTTTAAAGGTTCAAGCCGTAAGATCTGAGACGAGTTTGGTAGACCCTTGAGCTCCATCGGCCGGCTCCAAATATTTGGATACAAGATTTCTTAAATACTTTTTATTTTTGTGATCCTGAACAAATAAAGAAAGACAGAAAATGTCTACAAAACATTTCAGAACTCCAGGTAACGAAAAAACACCCTGCAG